GAATTTTCAGGTACATTTTGCACTCTATGGCTAAGACAGTTACGTTTTTGAAAGGGAATTTATGGATTTTTAAATGTTTCATAGACGTTTTATAAATTTTTCTCTTCGGCGCTAAAGAAAAATTACAAAATGTGCCCTAATTTGAGATTTTGTGTTGAATTTTGCCATGTGCTCAGCCGATTTCACTTGCGTGAACGGATCCACGATCCAGATAGTGTTTCCCGAATTGCTTTTAAGGATTAACGTTTTGGATTTTGAATAAAAATTTTCAAGAAACGGCTTCTCTGCATGTCTATTGTTTTGAGTTTGTTTATTTATAAAATTAGCTCAAAACACGATCGTGACTAAAAACATCCAAGCTGAATTGACGCTTAAATGCTTCACACATTCATTACACGCATCACTTTTTGCGAAGATGTCAGGTTCAGGTTTGGACACTTTTCGATACACAGCTAATGAATTTTATTCGAAAATATTTCTTACTGTTTATTCTAGACTTTTAATAGAAGAATTGTAAAAGTCTATTTGCAGTACAAGTTTACTGTGCAGAGGGTCAACGAGGCATCGTTTTTTGAAGTGACGACTTCTTGAAGTTGCGAGGACGTCAATAGGTTTCATAATGTTATGTTTGGCCCGGGTGGTTTAATGTCGAGCTTACATCGTATATCTTTTGACAATCCTTTACTTCTTCTGCTAAGGATTGCTCTGGACATTCAATTATAACTTCATCCGGTTCAAATGCATCACCGCTGTCAGAATCATCACACCGCGGTGATTCCCTACAACCATTTTTGAGCAGTTTCCAATCGGCGTAATTCCTGGTGCGAATCCTAACACTGTTTTTGGCAGTGACCAAGCTTCCCTTGACGCCAATGACTACCATAGGCTCCGGGTCATACAGAGGGGTCAGGCTGTTTTTAAGTTCCTGCTTGCACGACACAGTGTCCCCGACTTTAATTTTCATCACGGCTGTGTGTCTTCTTTTATCAGCATATTGTTTCATCTTCTGTTTTTGTTCTCGGTCCCGACAGCGGATCATCGTGTCATCCCTGTATTTAGGCTGTCCCTTGACTTCAGGGAACTTTCCACGTAATTCCCTTCCGAACATGAGCTTGTTCGGGCTGACTCCAGTTGTCGCATGCTCAGTTGCTCTGTATGCCCTTGCTCATATCCAGGTGGGAGAACACCGTTGACCCACTTAGTTCATTGACCACGTCGTCTATTGTGGGGTGCTGGATGTGTCTGCGGGGTATTGCCTGATTTGCCACGCGCATGTCCACGTTCAGACGTATCTGGCTCTGATCTTTCTTGGGCGTAACCACAGGCGGTGACACCCATCTTGTGGGTTCGTTGACTTTTTCAATGATGTCTTGATCAATAAGATGCTTTATTTCTTCTTCCATCTTCTGACGTACGCTGAACGTTCGTCGCCTAGCGATGAACGAGTCCCAGGTTCAAAACAACCCAGAACAGGCAGGGTGTTTGCTTTCGACGCTGCCCCGTATGGTTACAGGTGCAGGTGGTAAGGCAATAATATCCTGCTCAGTGTTTCGGTAAGATTCATGGTTTCAACCTTTGAAAGCTTTCTCGGCTTTAAGGAGCTTTCCCCCCGTTTGTCGGCCATTTTTTTTCAAGCGGGCGCGGGAACATGAAGTAAAACTACGTCATGTTGTTTACGAAGTTTGATTGGTCAGTTATCTCTTCTTCTCATTCCAAATATGGTACTTTCGAAAATGAATAATCACGAGCATCGGACAAAGCAAACATATGAGAGTTACACGTTTCAACCCCTTATGAGTTTCTGTAGATACTTAATTTAGAAGTATCAAAGTTACGATCCAATATGAACTTCCCACCAACAGGGATAGGAATCTCATTTAAAAAAGCTTTCCACGGACTTTTATAGTCTTCCAAATATTTTTTTTATACATATCACTCGTCTGGTACGAATCATAGAATCAATATCGAGCATATTTAAGCCACTCTCCTCAACTTCCGATATCATCACATTTCGTGTTACTTTATCTTTCCCATTCCAGATAAAATAGTAAAAAAGCGAGTTGGCCTCTTTGATAAGGTCTTTAGAAATTGGCAACACCGACGCTCTAAACATAAGCTTGGAGATGGCATAGGTTTTTGTAATTTTTATTCTACCTAAGAGAGAAAGACCACGCCATTTCCACAAATTACTCGCCTTCTTAAGTGATTTCAAAGTATTCCTAAAATTCAAAACATCTCTTTGTTTATCGTCATAGCCAAAGTAAACGCCTAGAATTTTAATAGTGTTACAAAGATTTGGCATATCAGAATACCCCTCCCAAAGAGAAGTACTATTTCCCGAAGCTAGGCTTCGGTTTTTTCATTATTTATTTTAAACCAGAACATTCACCAAAAGTCTTCAGCGTAACGAATAGGTTCGTATATGAACTATCTTTGATAAAGCAGGTCATATCATCAGCGAAAAGGGAAAGTTTAACAGGTTCATCTCGTATAGTAATGCCCTCAATGCCATCATCTTGTCTTATCCTTATAGCTAAGGTCTCCAAAGCTATTATAAACAGGTAGGCTGAGAGGGGATCTCCCTGCCTTACTCCCCTTCTTAGTGCAAAAAAGGTCCTGTTGTAAAACCATTGTTCATTACACAGCTAGAGGCATTGTTATATAAGACCCGTATCCACTGAACAAAAGAAGGACCAAAGTTAAATGCATGTAGTACTCTTAAAAGAAAATTTAAATTGAGCGAGCCGAAAGCTTTTTCAAAGTCTATAGCTAGTAGAATCCCAGGTATATCTTTGTACCTAGCATATTCAATCACATCGTCGATCGTTCTAACGGCATCAAAAATGGTTCCCCTCTTTACAAACGCGTTTTGATTAAAATGAATTACTTCAGGAAGCACCTATTCCAAACGCTTTGCCAACGTTTGAGACGCCAATTTAGCATCAACATTTACAAGAGATATTGAACGCCAATTCTTCACCAACCTTTTGTCTTTTCCTTTCTTTTCAATTAAGGTGATAACAGCCTGTTTCTGTGAGCTCGATAGTTCACCGTATTCGAAAGCATAGTTCAAACTATATCAACTACCAACTTTCCAAGCAAGGGCCAAAAGGCTAAGTGGAACTCAGCTGTTAAACCATCGTTCCCTGGCGATTTGTTCTTTTGGAAGGTCTGTAATACATTATAGCATTCATCATATCTAAGGATACCCTCGCAAACGTTCCTCTTCTCCTCGGCTAAAAATGGAACATCGGTGAGATCATTTATAAACGAAGAAATAGGCTGCGGGTCTGCGGAATTTCTACCATCATAGAGATTAGAATAATATAATTCCAATTCATTCATAATCTTTTTTGGGTCGCTAGTTAATGCTCCATCAATTGTTAAGATTTTGCGGACACTGCTTTTAGTTTTATTTGAATTTTCTAAATTCAAAAAATATTTGTTGTTTTTCTCACCCATTTCATACCAGGTTGCCCTAGAGCGAATGATTGCCCCTTGTGTAATGTAATCGTACAATTGATAATATTCTGTTTGAGGACACTCCAGGTCCTCGAGATTTCCACTATTTGGATCAATATCACATTTTTCTGTACATTCCTTCACGTTATCTTCCACTTTTTGTAGTTTTGCTCTTCTTTCACGGGCTTTACCTTTACTGTATGTGATTGTTCGCCGTCTTATTTTGTATTTAATTAAATTCCATAAAACACGCCTATCCTGAACCTCTTTAAATTCCTCTAACCAATTCACATATTCGGTGGTTAAAAGTTCACATTAGTGCGAGTCATTTACTAAGTTCGAATTGAATTTCCAGAAATTCGGTCCTATCTCAGTGTCATCTAAGCCGCTAATTGAAAGGGTTATTGCCGAATGGTCTGTTTTTATTGATGTTTTAATCTCCGCTGAAATTATCTCATCTTGCAAACTGTCGCTTATAAGCCAATAATCTAGACGCCTTTGCACAANCATTATAGCATTCATCATATCTAAGGATACCCTCGCAAACGTTCCTCTTCTCCTCGGCTAAAAATGGAACATCGGTGAGATCATTTATAAACGAAGAAATAGGCTGCGGGTCTGCGGAATTTCTACCATCATAGAGATTAGAATAATATAATTCCAATTCATTCATAATCTTTTTTGGGTCGCTAGTTAATGCTCCATCAATTGTTAAGATTTTGCGGACACTGCTTTTAGTTTTATTTGAATTTTCTAAATTCAAAAAATATTTGTTGTTTTTCTCACCCATTTCATACCAGGTTGCCCTAGAGCGAATGATTGCCCCTTGTGTAATGTAATCGTACAATTGATAATATTCTGTTTGAGGACACTCCAGGTCCTCGAGATTTCCACTATTTGGATCAATATCACATTTTTCTGTACATTCCTTCACGTTATCTTCCACTTTTTGTAGTTTTGCTCTTCTTTCACGGGCTTTACCTTTACTGTATGTGATTGTTCGCCGTCTTATTTTGTATTTAATTAAATTCCATAAAACACGCCTATCCTGAACCTCTTTAAATTCCTCTAACCAATTCACATATTCGGTGGTTAAAAGTTCACATTAGTGCGAGTCATTTACTAAGTTCGAATTGAATTTCCAGAAATTCGGTCCTATCTCAGTGTCATCTAAGCCGCTAATTGAAAGGGTTATTGCCGAATGGTCTGTTTTTATTGATGTTTTAATCTCCGCTGAAATTATCTCATCTTGCAAACTGTCGCTTATAAGCCAATAATCTAGACGCCTTTGCACAACCGGAGTTTTTTGACGCCAAGTAAATCGTGGTAAGGTAAGGTTAATGTTAGAAGCGAGAATGCCTTGTAGAATGCCTAAGAGTAGAGCTGACAGCAAAGCTTGGACATAAATAGCGTGGAAAGGCACTAAACGATAGTCAGTTTTACTTATTTTTTGCCCCAACATTTTGGAATGACTTGACCTATCCCGAGGTACAATGTAGAGACAGCAGCATCATAGCAAACGGTTTCCTGCAATTTATCTATTTGAGAATGATCTTACCATTTACTATCAGTTGTACCAATACCTGTCCTAAAATGTTGACCGCTGAACAGTTATATGCACCCGAAACACTTCCTCGAACATTTTTAAGAACCAACTTTCCTCCTGACACCACTAACCGACTGGACTGTCTGTTCGTTTTACTCCACACTATAAGAGGATTGGGATTACCACTCACTGAACACAGAAACGAGGCTGATCTACCTTCCTTAACTGTCAGCGTTTCAGCGGACACGGCAACAACAGGAGATGAAATCGATTCGCCAGGTTCTCCTTTAGCTCCCGGCATGCCTACAGGTCCCATGCCTCCTTTTTGTTCCTTGAGTCCAGCATCACCCTTCGGACCCACAGGTCCTATGATGCCATGCTTGCCACATTTTCCAGGAGATCCCATAATACCTTGGTCTCCTTTATTTCCTGTTCGCCCTCTGTGTCCTCTTCGTCCCCGGGATCCTTTATCTCCCCTTTGGTCCAGGTGGACCGGGAGGGCCTGGGGGACAGGTAGGACCATTTGAATGACAGACTTGAGGCTTCATCGATGGTAATAGTTTGCTCATCTTCAGAATTGTTCCCCTGTCTACTGCGTTTTTAGCTCCCGTAGAGTTCTTTTGTGCATCGGCCACGCGCTTGTTCCTGTGGAGCTTGAAATATTCAGATTCTACAAAGAACAATACATGAATATTACGCACAGATCTTTCTGCATGAAAAGGGAGAAACGAAAACTGTAAGTTGATGCCTCCACAGACTGATGAATAACTGGCAGTATTGACTGGGAACAGGTCGTTCCAAACATACTTCGTGACTTCGGGGACAACCTATGATAAAAAACCAAAAGATCCACAAACGCTTCCAGTAAACATTGCGTAAAGGATTTGTTCGATGCGTAAACAAAACATAAAATCGAAGGAGAAGATGGAGAAATAGTTTTTTTTTGACTATTTGATTACATGGCAGTAAACACAGTAAAGGGTGGAAAAGGGAGGAGTGGGACAAAAAAGGGATGTAAATATTATAGAAAAACTGGCCGGCGATTATGGAAACGTTTCTGCATACCACATTTCCTCCAAGTAGAACCCACGCTCCAATAAGCGCTCCCCCCCCCCCCCCCCAAAAACCCCCACCCCCCCCCCCCCCCCCCCCCCCCCCCAAACAACCCACCCCCCCCCCCCCCCCCCCCCCCCCCCTCCCAAAACACCAACCTCCTCAACAAAAAACAACATGAAACCACCCATCACACCACAAACGAACATCCAGACACAACAAAAAAAACTAGCATATATAAAACAAATAAAAGAGGGGAAAAGGGGAGAGGGAGAAAAAAAAAGGGTGGATAAGTTATGTAAACTAGTGGGGTGTAGAAAGGAAACGTTCCTACATACGAGCGTCCCTCCAAGAAAAACCACCCCCCCAAAACCACCGCCCCCCCCCCCCCCCAAAAGTCCCCCCCCCCCCCCCCCCCCCCAGGCCATAATAACAGACAAGTGCCCCTCGCACCTCATCACTTTCTTAAATAGTGATAGTGGGCATATAAGAGGAATGCGAGGACCTGCATATCATTGACGAGAATGATCTCGAGCGACCAGATACTATAATTGATATTTTATAAACATGCACACCGATTATGTATCAGCGTAAAGAGTATAATGAGACTACGGTACGCTTAATCACCTACCACCGTTTTAATAAACAAGTTAAAGATATTGAAAACCAAAAGTATAAGAGCCCCTCCGTTTAGTACGTAAAAAACATGACAAAAATGAAGGGGGTGGTCTAACTCCGTAAATATGCAACCTATCGACACGAAACTTTCGTGAGAGCTTAAATGCGTTGTAAAAATTAAGTCCGAGATGAAAGTTGTCAAGATAATAAACACGTGACTCATTCAGGTATCCAATTACCATTTTTAACTTATTCTCGACCATCTGCAGGAGAACTTATGCACACTTATCTTAACAAATAACAAGCGGAAAGTGTGTTGCAGATCGGAATGTACACAAAAGTAGGTGGAGGTCATGTCCAGGTCACGCGGTCATAGAAATGTAACGATTTTTCTGTCACGTGACAGCCAGAAAACATTCATCAAGGGTAGGAATTCCAGTTACATTTGGAAAGTACTACAGATAGGTAAAAACAACACCAATAAAAATGCTCAGTAAAATTTTTTTTACCCTGCCTGCAGAATCCTTAAAGAAAAAAATACGGAAGTGAAGCACGCAACACATTACCATGGTGATGTCAATCTCAAAAATACTATCTTGACAGGGGTAATGCAATGGCCACGTCTCACCCTTGAAACACATTTTCTTTAAAGATTAAGACCACCCCCTTACATTTCAGAGCAAAAAATGGCAGACCCAGGCCTTACCTATACCTGAGTGTGCGCGTACTAAGGAATCATAAGGACATTAATGTTTAAAGGAACAATGTTTTTCGTTTGGGTGAAGAGTGACTTAATTCTAGGGGTGAAAATGTTGTATAATTACCGAAAAGCAGGCAGGTTCATTCGTCTCTGAGAGGATAACGTGAAATTGATATCTTCTAAGAGTATGCAAGCTGATCTCTACTAATGAAATGTTCTGCAAGATTTGACTTCAATCCTAATTTGAACATGAATTGTTTTTCCATGCTTGACGAGTTTGTTGTTTGACAATAAATTGATCACTCCAGCTGCCTCGTTACCAAAAAAACGCCAAAATATGTGAAAAATGTTCTTTCACGCTTTCGGTTTATCCCAGATACAAAAAAAAAAAACCCTGAGAGCAACTCCATGCAAATATCGACCAAAGTGCGGCAAGACTCAAAAAATAACAATCGCTCTTCTTTTGCATACTGGTAGACTTTAGTAAGTGTACAAACGCAATATAGTTTTCTCTTGGAAAGATCTGTTCGTTTCCGAGAAAAACAAGAAAAGCGTTTCAAGGCTCGCCGTCGATTTCGCAAGCCAAAAACAGGGTTGAAATTCAGTTTGATTCGCTCGACTTGCATTTCAAAACAACCGCGCTAGAAAAAGAGCTTGTTGCTAAAATTGTACGTGTAACTCGTCGTTAACCAATATATAAAATATTTTAGCATTACAACAGTCTGAGTAATTATAAAAAAGCTAAACCGTATGTCTATCTGTTGTTCAACAATGGAAGGTAGTTGAAAAAAGCGACGATTCTCATCATGTACCTTTGATCAGAAATTGTCAAGATTGAAGGGGAAAACACTATAAGCATCAAACTATTATGTTATGTTAAAATTATTCTGGGGAAATCATTTTGATCTTCCCAGAAATTATTTGAAATTCCTGTTACAGACAACATAAAATAACGCCATCCAACACATGAGTCACACGACCACTACCAACAATTTGACTTTAGGTTTCCGTTTACAACACTGGTAGCCTTGATATGTAGAACAATTTTTTTAAAAAGCTCACCTTAACCTGTATCTGTTTTACTTCAAGCTCCAAGTTGTTTCATTTTTGCCGTCTTATCACCTACGTTACCGTAGTCGTGAAGTCCGCTGGAATGTGTGCGTTCACATTGTGGCATTGTGGAGGTGCGTGACAGCTTTCTGGTAATTTCCTCCTTCCATTTGTTGTCTCTAATGTTTTCAAGTCAACATCTCATGCTTGTTAAAAATTTTGAGAACCCTGGACCTTAAAAAAGCCGTCTATAAAATAAAGCTCGGTAGTTTAGCAAAGCAAAGTTCCTTGCTCGTGGATCCGTTCACTTCAATTTATCTCATTTCCAAAGGAGTGTGCCAAGGGTCTACTTCCGGTGATATACACGTGACGGGCTTCACCGACTTTCACCCGTTACTTTCAGTACACTGAAGAAGATTCATCTTTTATACTCCTCCTCCTTCAAAAACACTCCAGTTGACATTATTTTACCTGAGAGTTATCTTTAATATTTTGACATTTTAGGCACTTGATTAACATTATCGAATTAGATTTAGTTTAATTTGATTCAACTGTTCATTCCCGCTTGAAAAAGAAAAAGATCTTTGCTTAAACACTGTTTGTGTGCGCTCTTCTTCGATGAAGTTATGGAAGGTTCGTGCTCCTTCGAGTCATTAGTAGGTACTCTATGTTCGTTTGATAGAAGGGATAAGTAGAGATCAACTCAGATTGTTCTTTTGTCTCTGTCAAACTATTAAGGACGTAGCTCAGGTATACGTCGACATGGTCTCTTTCTGGTATTGAAAACGGGACAGACTTTATAATTTAGCTCAGAAATGACCAGCCAGACCATTCCCGTCGCATTGATAATTTACCTTTTAATGAAATTCTTCAGCTAGATCAGTCAAATCCGAAATAGTTTGCTCGAAAGAGAACGTTTTCCAGCAAACACTCTTGGAAAAATCCTATTTCTTTTTCAACATCTCTCTGGTCGGGCTATGGTCCAGCCGGCCAGTTCTGACAAATGGAAAGCGCTGTAAGTTCCTTTAATATATGCCCTTTCTATCGTTCTGAGCTCGGTATTGGATGGCGACGGAACAGTTATTCCAATTCGTGCCAAGTTCCAAACGAAATCGCCAATCACGTAATGGAAAGAAGAGGGAAACCTGTTAAAGCCGACAAAGGAGTTAGAGGAAGAGCATTTCTGAATATATCTATCAGCAAACCGGTATCCTCATTCCTGTAGGTTCAGGTACTCTTGGTTTATTCATTGTATTATATTCTAATAAGTCACTTAGATTCAATCCGCGAATACTGTATAAAGTTTACCATAGTTGTCAACTTTCTTAGATAACTCAGAGTCACCGGGGTACGGCACCAATCCACCTAATCTGTCCGATATGATAAACCTTTCAGTTTTTCTCTTAGTCTGAAATTAAACCCGATTTCCCCGAGTAAATAATTTTTTAAAAAAACTTAGAGATGATAGTCCAGTTGTGATGGCATTTGTTGTTGTCGTTGTTTTTACATTTTCTTCAAACGACTGACTTGTACCTCATTCATGACAACGTGTGGGGATATGGCGTCGGATGGAACTCAACGATTCCACATTCGTAAAGCAAAACAAGTGGTCGATGCAGCTCTTGGAGAGATTGCGTCAGAAGACGCTGAAAAACCCTGGGTATCCTTAGTTCAATCTCAGCACTAATGGTAGCTCAGCAGGCCAATGACGAAGCCACTGACTTTACGCTCAGTAGCAGATGCGCTTGCAGAATGTTACAAGAACGCAGGACACTGGGGATCTCGAAGAGAAATCTTATCTAGTAGGGACGGACCATTAGAAAAATTATGGCGGGGGGGGGGGGGGGTT